AAAAAAAAAAAAAAAGAGCGGGCTTGGCTCGAGGTTTTTTGGGGCCCGAATCGAGCCCGGCCAAAAAAAATAAGGCTCGGTCCGAGCTTTGGCCCGAGCCTTAGCGGGTTGAGCTGGCTCGATTTTTTATTTTATTTTTCTTTCTTAGCTGCCTATAGGTAGCTTTTAAATCTTTTTAAAATTAATTTTAATTTTTGTTATTAATTACGGGCCGGCCTGTGTGGACACGGGCCGCCCTGAGCGGGGCCCAACTCTGGTTTTTCTCTGGCCAAACTCGAGCCACCGGAGCTTTTTTGTCATCCCTAGATGCGTCTAGACTCGAAGCTCGGGCAAAACGCTTCGCTTCACGCCTATGTCCTTTTTTTATCAATTCCTAAATAGTTGAATTTTTTTCCTTCCATCTATTTCGTCTCTCTAGGCGCGCTTTATTAATTTTTTTATTATTTTTAAAAAAGTATTTTATGACTTTAGTTTATTAATTTTTAATTTTCAAAAAAAAAAATAAAAAATTATTTGACTCTAATTTCAATTTTTTAAAAGATTTTATATGTACAAAAGTTAAAAATGATATTATTGATAAATAGTTAAATAAGATTTAAGTATGGGTGCCATCTTTCTTCCTATCCAAATTCATTGAATTCCAATAAGACCGAACAAAGTCCCTTATCTCAGTTGTAAAAATGTTTCTCTGCCCCTTCCCTTTTTTCCTTCTTATTCCTACTCCCTTCCCCATCTGTGAACTAGAATCCAACCCCTTATTGCTATCGTTACCACACAGAGGGGACTCAGACTTGTGCTGCTGAAGCCAAGCAGCAGCCACCCTCTCCTCAATCTCCTTCCTAATTTACTCAGGATTCTTAGTTGCCTTCTTAATCTCATTTAGCCTTCTCCCAAGTACTGATCTCAATTCCATTGGTTCGTCAAAGACTCTCATTGGAATTGATGGAAAATTCTCTACATTCCCATGATTCTTCGTCCTGGTCGAAATGGATGAAATTTTGGATTCCCGAATCAAGGACCATTCCTCATTTTGCACAGGAGCAACGGCAGCCGCGGGTGTGAAAATCTTCCCATGACACTCTGTTGAAGTATTTAACTTCTGAATCACAGTCCGTATCTCATTTTCGAACTGGACAACACGAGCCTCAGTTTTGGAAAGCTTTTGACGCAACTGGGATGCAATTTCCATTGCCCTCTCGCACTCCTGCTCCACCTCCTCATACTCCCCCTCATTTTTCGGCTCAAACAACAAATTCGCATAAAAAGGTGAAAAGTCAAAAGAAGCCGGTGCCATTGTTACTGACTTCCTTGCACTCTCTATTGCCTTCTTCAAATATTGCTGTTTGGCATTCGGGTCTTCAATCATCGTGGCCACCCTGACACAAACTTTTCCCATGTGGGGTTGCTGCAATTCCGCTGCTTTCTAATTCCAGCGATGTGGGGTTAGGTCCACCGTCGACGGCGGAGACGTTGACCGTTGTAAAAGACGCCGTTGGTGGCTGAGAGGCTTTGGAGCGACGAACATTACTTCGCTTCTATGCCCCAATATCAATTTCTTGTGAAAAAGCTATTGAATCGCATGCAAAAAAAAATTAGGGTTTACACATGGATGTAGTGAGAGAAAGAGCAGAGAGGGATGGAGTTGTATGTATAGATAGATTGGAGGCGGAAGAACGACCAAATTGCTGGCTGTGTAACTGTAATTTGATGTTGGGACTAATTAACTGTCATAACGGTTGAGTTTTAATTATTTTGAGAAAATGAAAGCATTTTTTGGTTTATTCGTGTAAATTAATTAGGGTTAGGGCTACGGTTTTTGTATAAATTGGGGGTTTTCTCCCATTGTCACCGCTTTTGAATACCTAACTCGACATCGTCGTCTCTCACTTTCAAAATCTTTGAGCCACTGCAAATCTTCTTCGATAATTTTGAGAGCTTCATCTTTTTAGGTACGCTTGAAAACTCTGTTCTCATTCTTCAGTTTTTTTGTTGGGGGTTTTATCATTTTTTCCCTAGGATAGTTTTTGATAGGTTTTTAAAAGAAATATATTTTTTTTTACAAAGCGCAAATTGAAAAGGAAAGTATTATTATAAGCCATAGTAATAGAAGAGGTGGGAGGGGCATATCATATTTGTACGCGTTTCCTATGAAAAACATCAAAGACATAATGGACTTTGACTTTAATTGCGACGAACGTTGGCTTTAGCAAGCCTCGGAGCACAACACAAGAGACCACGGGTTTAACAAGCCTCAAAGAACAACACAACATTATGGTGAAGTAAGAATTTTTGAGTTTAAATTATTGATTATATCCTTCGTTCATGTAACTTTCGTTCAAAGAATATGTAGAAGTTGGTTTACATTCTTGTACTCATATACAGTGTCATTGATGATGTTAAAAAAATATGTATTATGAGTACCAAATTTGAGGTTAGGGCTTGGATTCCTCGAAATCATTACTCATATTTGTTTAATCACTTCTTTCTCCCGACTGGTATGGAAAACAATAGTAGACTGAAGAAGTAGAAAAAAAGTCGTCTCATTTATTTCCGCCATATCATCAAGATATACAAGAGTTCCATACTCACCTACAAATATTTATACAAAAGGCAAAAGGGAAGTGCTACAATAAGGAGTTGCAGAAGATGAGGGCTAATTGATTTGTACATGGTTTTCTGTAGAAAACATTCAAAGAATATCAAAGTACAAGAATTTCCTGCATACAATTTTGGAATCTATCCACCAAGTAGGAGCTAGTTGCTGTTAGGAAGTCGACTCTAGCATTTTCCAATTATGATCCATGAGCAAAAACGAGGTAGCTGTTAATCAAACGAGTTGGAAAGATTGCAGAATTAGAAGAAAACAGCACAGGTGCGGAGATCCTTCGGGTCATGAGCACCAAAAGACATTCAAACCACTTAACAAACGTTACTTCTTTCTTACACATAATTGCTCCTATTTCTGATCATTATACAGCTAAATTGTCGATGTTATGATGCAATTATCACCTTCATATCAATATTCTAATACCAGAAAATTCAGTTGGAATTTTGGCTCAAAAACTTGCACAAGCTGATGCTCGCACTGCATATTTTCAATGGATCAAGTAGCCCAATCAAATCCTGCTAGTTTACAGCCTCAAAAAAGAGGACCTGTGGTTGCATGTGTCCTCTTTCACACATTGCAAGAACATCGTTCCAGCTACCAATTACCTAGACATCAAATACCAATTATAGATGAACTACAAAAGAGGAAAACGAAGGAATACATGGCAATAGATGGAAATTTTACCTTTACAGTTTCATCATCATACATGATCCACTTTTCATGTTCGTTCTGGTAGGCAAAGCAACAATAGTGCAGCCCATAATAGCAAACCTAATATGACAAATGTTGAAAGAAGGGACTTCTCAGAGTTGTTTAATATCACAATGCCAAGCAGTGGAGAAATAATTCTCCTTTATTGTTGCAAGAAGGAAAAGTAAGGATTCAAAATTAGAGTTCTGAGCAGAAGAAAGCGACTTATAAATAGAAATATTAACTGGTCAATGATTTAGGTAACTAGCTGTTAAGAACCTACAGAAAGAGGTAATAGCAATTATGTAGGATTATGCAAATAGAATTAGAACAACCTTAGTCTCCCTATTTTGTTAGTTATTAGGACTCTATTAATATGGTTTATATGAGCAGTTTGTTGATTTTAATTTGAAAATAGGACAGGTTATTATAATCAACTGAAACAAAATAACTACTATCTGATGTCCTTGTGCTTTTACGAGTATTAATTGCTCTGTCTAACAAGATAGTAATGCATATTCTTTCATAAAGTTTCTCTCTGTATCCCTTCAAACAAATAGCAGCCACAGCGTAATATGTGACATCTCTAATGCACAACAAGAAAGCCCTCACCCCACTTGAAGGGTTAACAGAAGACAAGTATAGGAAAGGAAGCGTACCACGGAAACCAGGCAATGGGTACTTTTTTGTTCATGACCACGATAAAGCACACTGATATCAATCTCAGTAGTCAAGGCTGCTAATGTTGTTATAATGTCATCGGCACTTTCACAAGTATTCTGCCAACCCAGAACTACCAAATGAAAAGCCATTTATTAGATTTAGCATCTAGTGGGATCCAAGTATAGAAGTAGAGTGGCGATTCAGTTTGCTACATTCAGCTCCATTCTGGCATACACAACACATGACCTGAATAGACAACGATTAAATGAAATGGAAAGTTTACCAGTTATGAAAACATGTGGTTTAGCTGAGAGAACACGATGAACGTAGTTGAGCTTTCCACAGCCGCCAACCTCTGGATCACAAGCTAACTGTTGACTCATCTCAACCAAGTTTAAAAGCTCATCAAAGGAATTTCCTGGGCACTTAACCTAAAGGGGTAAAAAGATAAAAGATTTTTTAGCATCTACATTTCCCTAACAAGCAATTTATTTTTATCTACCACCAGGAGTAGTACCCTTATTGGATAAAGTATTGTCCAAAAAGACATGCCTTCATTGTCCTGAGATCTCTGGCATTGATATTATGAAAAAATGAATTGTACTTTTGATGTCTGGATTCCAAACCGCAACTTTCACACTTTATTCTTTGAAATATTTCCATTCCAAAAAGCGAATGTGCAATACAAGATAACCCCTTGTAGTCCAAGGAGCCAAACCGTTGAACAGGTGGTGGTATGCAAGGGAATGACTGATGAAGGCAATCAAATATTACCCCAAGCACCTCTGAAGCATCATTCATCTGTCCCTGCACATTTTCTAAAATATTAATCAGGAATTTATAAACAACTTCTGATTACATGATGATATAAAGAAATGTAACAAAATATAAACAAAGTTATGTATTTACCTCCTGGAAGAACTTACTGTCAGGAGACCAGTTGCTCAGAGCAACCCTCAAAGATCTAGGCGCAACAGATTCTCTTCGAGTATCAGTTGATGCTATGCTCAGAGAAGTGAAGATATCATATAATGCACATGTAACACAAGGATCACCGGCATGAATATGTCCAATGGATGTTCTCAAAAGTTCATCTCGAAAATGTCTCAAGTGCCACAAAGACTGAATTCAAAATAGAGTCAATATCTTAGGGACAAGGAATATTTTTACCATGAAAGAAAACAATGGACAGAGAAAGAAAACTCATAGGAAACAACAAAGAAAAGCATGCTCCCTAATACCAACCTGTATTATGACGTTGAGAAAGCAATTATATTCACCAGCTTTGTTTTTCAGACCAGGGCCATATATATCCATTACATTAGCACCATCATCCATGACCTTAATTGATGAACACTCCAAGTCATCCATTTCTGGAAGCTTCTTTAGTAGCAATGCTGAAGTCAACATCAAGGGCAATATTCAATATGATGCTGAGCAACTTTAGGAAATATAAAGCAACTTCATCTGCCTAATTTGTTATACATGCAGATATGTAGGGGCAGCTTTGTTCCATAAAATTGATGGGAACAGACAAGCCAACAGTGAAATAGCTAGAAATCTACATAAGTTTGAGGTTCAATTTTTGGAACTCACCAATACAGAACATGCATCAGTACGTATTTCTAAGAGAATTAACAGAACCACAAAGAACTTGGACAGGGAGAAATAAAAAAATTAAATACAGTATGCATGATCTATGTAGATACTCAACCTGAGGCCACGAAGACAAAGGATACCTAGTTCAGCTCTTAATTATAATAAGAGTAATATAGATAAAATCATGCTAGTTTAACAAATTCAAAAGATATATACTCATTAAAATCGATTGCTTTGCTCAGTAACCTTGAAAAATTGAGGGCAATAACTGCATTTCTAACAATGTTCATATCATAATACCATCAGTCAAATTGATTGCTTCGCTCAATAACATTGACAAATTGATAAAATGCATAGCATCACTTACCGAAGAACCGAAATTGCATGACTTGTGGATCCGGGCTTAAAGGAAAACAATTTAAATGAATCACACTCCCTCTCTTGCTCACAGACTGCAGCTATCATAAACTAGGTAATATAGTTCAGATAAAACCTTCAGAATGTTTCAGAGTAGAGCCCCGTTTGGCTAAGATTAAAAAGTTCATTTATAAGTAAATATACAAGTTTTAAACTTAATAATTTCTAATTGGTTAAAGTTAAAATTGAGTAAGCTATTTATTTTGAATTAAGGCAAGAGTTACTGTTAAAGTAAGTTACTTATTTTAATTTAGGAAAAAGTAGCATATCTAAACATGTTTGGAAACAAAAGTTACTCAAAAAGTAATTTTTATTTTTTAAGCTTAGCAAAGCATACTTTACTTATTGCCAAAGCATGTCATGCATTGCAATCTTGTTATGTGAACTCCACCTGTGTTTATTCGAAACTGGTCCAAAACATGGATAAAGGAAGATTCATTACCAGTGTAACACTTTGTGGCATCTCGTGACATGAATTCTTCTATACAATTCCATGCCACTGCCTGTTCGAGAGAGCTTACACAGCATAATTCGAAAGATTTGTCAACCTTTATTTCCCAAATGATCTGTTTTTACACTCCTCCTTTCACTTTATTAGCATTTACATTAGAATGTATTCTCATTTCTTTATTCAGACAGTTTTCCAAGAGTTTCTCAATCCTTAACATCTAACATGAACCAAACTTACGGGCTATTATTTGTAAGACTAAGGATTTCACTGCTAACTACCCCTCTTAATGATAGGAAATTCTCCACTGCTATTGGCACTACATCTTACGTTCATGCCCACTTCTTCATATATCTAATAGAAACTTCTTTCCTCTAACCGCCACTAAAACTTCCTTAGGCACCCTATCATACAAATCAGATAAAATATTAGTTGATAATTGTCAAATATACTCAATGATATTCAGTAAGACTCGATGCCCTCAATGTAAGAGGTTCTCTCATTATATAGAACCAAAATCGCAATTAAATACGATAGCTATTAAACTAAATATTCACTAATGGTAACCTATTAAATACATAGATTGATGCTTTATATTCCACCAACGCTTTCCTTATATTCCACTGACATCCCCTTGTAATCATGAGCTGACACGGTGATAATGCTCGTGCTCATGAAGAAGAAATCTAAATCACAGCAACCATCTACGAAAAATAGTGACGACGAGAGACCGAAGAATAACAAATAGTGCAAAAATAGCGAAAAACTACTCCAAAACCACTCGAGAGCTCACACCTCAAGAAGAATTTCCAAAAGAAATTCACAAAGTGTGTCGACCACACAAAATGAGCTCTATCAATCGAAAGAACTCAGTTGAATACATAATTCATGTTCCAACGAAAGCTTTAATAGCCAATGCATCGGCCAAAAATCTAGCAATATATTGTTGGTTAAGATGTTGCAGCTTGGAGAAATCCCACGGAACAACGTACACCAAAAACCTAAAGATGATCATCGTTTGAGAATCCAAAACTCTTGCTCATCACCCAAGCAACCAAAACTCAATGGTATGTACTCCCATGACTCTCTCATCTGTCTGCAAGCTCATACTCACCCCAAACAAAAAAAAAAACAATATTATTCTGCCACTATACCCAAGAATCACCATAGAAAGGGAAAAAAATTAGTCAAAGTCCAATCAACACCTAATCTTGATAAAGCCCACTACATCGAACAACAACGAGCCTTAAATTTTGAAATAATCCAGCAAATCAACAAGCCCAACGAAATTAACTTAAGCCCAATCCAGAAAATATGTTAATATCTCTGCCCAATCAACAAATAAACCTACAAATCCACAATAATATTAAGTGCGTGTTTTGTCTTCCATTATTGTAGAAGAAATTGAGAAATGAATAACATTTTTTGGAGAATGTGTGGTTGAAATTTAAAGTAACTTTATTGGTTTGTGTGTAGAATATTTTATTGGATAAATATATGGTGGAGAATCTTACTGTAGCAAACGATGTTTTGAAATAATTGAAGACAAACGGGGCCTAAATAAAACTCAACAGTCCGCAACAATATTTTAGCCTGGACTGCTGTTGAAACCCACCATAGGGAAACGCCTCTTTTGTAGCCGCCACCGGGAAAAAAAGATTTGGAATTAGAATCCTTACGCTCTAAAAATCAACACCTCCGGTATTTACTTCAACAAAATCTGACCCTTTTTACGAAACATGTCATTGACACCTTCTTTACTATAGAATTGCCCTCCCGATTTGCATGAGCGCCTTTTAGCAGTTGTGAAAGTTTCCTGGATCAACTCGAAAATCTACGGCAGAAATCTATGGAGGGTGGTGCCTGCAAGTTTCCATTCAACGAGTCCTCAAATAAAGATTTGGAGAAAGTGGAGACTTTGATAAATTTTGGTCATGATGAGCCGAGTTGGTGGGTCTAGGTCACTGAGGATATGGTTCCGAGTTATGGGATTAAGCAGTAAATCAACGAACCCACAAGGCATAATTACCTACGACATATCGCCAGCACAAAAGGACCACTTTGCAATCGAGGTGAGTCCCAAAACCAAAAATAAGCTTTACTGTAAAAGCCCAAGTAGAAATGGGGATGAAGGTTGGACGGGAGGAGCTGTAAGAAAATCCAACCAAGAAAATGAGAGAAAATTCTAAGAGGCTCTGATACCATGTCAAATATACTCAATGATCAATAAATTCTCTAAATGTGAGAGGTTCCCTCATGAACTAAAATCACAATTAAATATGGTAGCTATCGAACTAAATATTCACTAATGGTAACCTATTAAATACATAGATTGATGTTTTATATTCCACCAACGCTTTCCTTATATTCCACTGACACTAATTGCAGGAAGTCTGTCATTGTTATGTTTTAGTCTTTGTGTGAATTTTATTCTGTGTGGCTCTCCATGTGATAGTTAATCTATTTACGTCAGCCTGTGAATATTATATAAGATGATCCGAGCTGAATTTGAAAATTAAGCAAAACTGAATCAAACAACTGACTCAATCCCACTTCCATATTATTATAGAGTGGAACTAAACCTTAAATATATTATAGATCAGTATTTGATTGTTCACCATTCAAATGCTAATCAAAGTTTGGGTAAATATTTATCAGAAAATAACAAGCTGTGAAATCAATTTATGATACACACACGCCATTAGTTGGATTGCATTGAGGTATACCTCCATCATCATCGTGATTATCCTTAGATCCAAGTTGACCAACTTCAACATAGTCCTTTTCTGAAGACACCGGTTGCTCTGCAGGATGCTTCTCTTTTGCCTCATTTTCAATTTGTCTTTCATATTTCAAATTTTCTTCAAGCTTTCGTTCCTCAAATTTGAGTTCGATTCTATGCTTGTATTCTTCTTTCTGATGTCCTAAAGCTACATCAGTCCCAGCAAAAGAAACTTCAGCATCAGGATCATCCCAATCATGAACCCTTATATGTGATCTGTAGTAAGATTAGAAACAAAGAAATTAAATATATTTTTCAAATGCATTTCAGATGAAATATATGGAGAACACGCACACAGTTCTGGTAAAAGAGAGACATACGTCATTTCAGATGTCAGATCACGAATCATACGCATCCCCTCACCACCAGTGGCCTGTAAAAATTATAGTCAGTGTAAATGATGACTGTGCATCATACAGTTCTTATCTACGCTAAATAACCAATAGAAATTTTAACGCAGCTTAAACCTTTAAATATTTGTTTCTCCTGTTCTTCTTGCTATTTTTCTTATCCATAATCCTCTCATGCATATGCCTTGAATTATTGCATCCTCCACCAAAACCTTGCTCAGAATCAAGAGCAAGTTCTGCTAAAAGTGCTTCTCCAGCAGCATTAGATTTCTTTGTGGCTTCTTTCTCTGCCAGATCCTCCAAATGTGTCTGCAAAAAGGTGAACAAAAAAACCTCTAATTTAACTGTAAATGGAAGGAAGAAATGCTAAGGGGATAATACAAGAAGGCACTATGCCATATACTAACTCGCAAATATGATTTCACTAGATGCACGAACATTGATCTGAAATCGTGGGCAGATGCAGAGTTAAGCTTAACTTCCAACTGCTGCATCAAACTTACAACTCGCAGAATCCTTGCATCATTTTTACTGAGCTGTAAAAACAAGAAAAGTGCTAAAGCATCAAAGTGTATACATAGTTTGGTCCTAGATAAAAGTAGAACTAATAACATCAACCTCAATGGATGCTTGTTCTTTACGTCTCTGTATTGCACCTTTTATGCAGGAGTCCACCTGATGCAAATGGTATTTTGTCCTCATATCGCCATTTTCAGCAGATTCTGCATCCTTCAAAACATTTTCTATTACGTCCAGCTCAAACCTACTACGGCTAACATTAGTTCCATTTTCACTTCCAATGAGCTCTTCTCGCCGCTTTATCAGGACACAGTCATAACGTTGTGGGACATCTTGCTCTCTTTTAATTCTCTCTTTGCAACAGAGATCGTTCACAGCATGCAATGCTTCCTCGTAATTTAAATCCTCACATTTTATCTCACACAAGCCCTGCAGGTTGTAAAATTCCTTGTCATGTAACTGAAGAATTTCCTTACATTGTTGTACTTTCTCTTCCCTTGCACATGTCCAGGATGCCAATATTTCCCCACTTGAGGGTCCTGAATATATCCAGGACAGTACTGCATCTGAATCAAGCACGATATTGTTGTTCTCATGATAGTCGATCAATGAAGTAGCTGAACTAGAATCATCATACAATGAAGAATTGAGCTTGCAGGGAAGGAAAAGCTCATCAAGCACCAAAACTAAATCATCTAGAGCAAAAGTTTTCTCCGTAGTGTCAACAACTTGAGTACAACTGATTGAATCATCCGTCGAATAACTTTTATCAGAATATTTACCAGGTGGAAAAGAAAAAATGTCACGCAAAATTTCCCCCAAAAAAGTCATGATTTTCTCAAGATTGGGAGCACTCAGAAAGCAGATACACAGGGGTGTTTGGTCCATATTGTAGTTAAGAAGATGAAAATCATCAGCAAGACCCTGCAGCTGCTCAACTGCAAAGTCTATGACCTTGCTAAGATGATTGGAGGCAAGATAGTTGTGTTTGATAAGCAGCTCAAATGTGGCATGGATTCTTGCCAGAAGCCACTCACATTCTGAGTCATCAGTTGAAGGCCAGTTTTTGTAAATGGAACTTCTCTTACGAGCTTGATATTCGTCACTATTCATCCACTTAATATTTTCTAAATCCTTGCTTTCCTGAGTACTACCCTGGCAGTTATTGCTTAGTTTATTCTTTTCAGGTGATGAATCCCCTTTACATTCACTGGAATAATCTTTATCGTTTCTTGCATTTGACTCGTCTTCAAGCATTCTAATTGCAGCATTTAAATCTAATGGTTTCCAAGAGAAATTAAGAAGCATCTCAGCCCACTCATTATCCACTCTATCTGGTATAATCAACTGTAACTTCGGTGACAAAGTCCTCATATGCTCCTGCTTTACGTGCTGCCTATGTGAATCTGCATCGGAAAATTTTTTATTGCAGCAACAGCACAGCCAAAACTTCCATACCTTATTTTCTTCCACAAAAGATAAGGCTTCATGAAGGACCTCACTCACTGACTCTTCCTTTAACAAACTAGAATGTAGCTTGAGATCTGAAATATTAACTTTAAGCAATTTTTTCTTGCTATCCAAGTTCATTGAGTTCCAATAAGACCGAACAAAGTCCCTTATCTCAGCCGAAGAAATGTTCCTCTGCCCCTTCCCTTTTTTCCTTCTTTTTCCTACTCTCTGCCCCATCTGTGAACTAGAATCCAACCCCTTATTGCTATCGTTTCCACACAGAGGGGACTCAGACTTGTGCTGCAGAAGCCGAGCAGCAGCCACCCTCTCGTCAATCTCCTTCCTAAGCTCCTCATGATTTTTAGTTGCCTTCTTAATCTCATTGGGCCTTCTCCCAAGTGCTGATCTCAATTCCATTGGTTTGTCAGGGACTATAGTTGGAAACGATGGAAACTTCTCCTCCTCATAACCCAGATTCTTCAGCCTACTAGTTGAAATGGATGCAACGTTGGACTTTTGAATCAAAGACCCTTCCTCATTTTGCACAGGGGCAACTGCAGCCTTGGGTGTGGAAATCTTCTCATGGAACTCTGTTGCCGTATTTAACTTCTGAATCAAAGACTGCACCTCATTTTCGAACTGGACCACTCGAGCCTCAATTTTGGAAAGCGTTTGAAGGAACTGGGATGCAATTTCCATTGCCCTCTGGCACTCCTGCTCCACCTCCTCATACTCCCCCCCATTTGCAGTCTCAAACAACAAATTCGCATAAAAAACTGAAAAATCAAAAGAATGCGGTGCCATTGTTACCGACTTTCTTGCACTCTCTATTGCCTTCTTCAAATATTGCTGTTTGGCATTGGGGTCTTCAATCATCAAGGCCATCTTGACACAAACTTTCCCCATGGCATGGTGAATCCAGGCCGAATTCTCGTGTTTTAAGTACAAATCCTCCATCAACTGTAGGGCTTTCTTGTGGTTTCCTTGGTGCAGAGCAGCTAGGGCTGGCTGGCACTCGATCTTGATTGAATCATTGGAGGATGAAGGGGTTGCTGCAATTTCTCTGATTTCTAGTTCCAGCGGTGTGAGGTTAGGTCCACCTTCTACGGTGGAGGTGGTGACTTTTGTAGGAGACGCCGTTGGTGGCTGTGAGGCTTTGGAGCGACAAGCATAATTTCGCTTCTTATGCCCCATATCAATTTCTTGTGAAAGCTATTGAATCGCATGCAAACAATTAGGGTTTACATATGAATGTAGTGAGAGAGAGCAGAGAGAGAGAGGGGGATGGAGTTCTATGTATAGATAGATGGGAGGCGGGAAGAATAACCAAATTGTTAGCTGTGTAACTGCAATTTGAATATAGTTGGGACTCATCAGTTAAGGATTTTCCTTTTTTTTTTTTTTGGCACTGGGCGCATTCACATTTCTATTCCCTCTATTTTCTTAGTTTTTTTTTTCCGGAGGGTTTTATGTTTTTTTTGCGATCATTTCTTTAGTTTTTGGTAGGTCTTTTATTATAATTTTGCTAAAATATATAACGATAATAAAACGGGACCCACTATTTTTGTTGAATTAATTGTTTGCGTAATTAACTTTAATCACAATATATTTTCTTCTAACACTCCCCTCGAGTTGGAGTGTATATTTAATTATTTATAACACCAACTTGCTCAGAAGATGGTGAAATTGAGTTGATCCAAGAGCGGTGAAAAGATCAGTTGGTTTGCTCAACAGTATTCAAATATTTGAGGAACGATATGAGAAATAATCTTTATATATTTGTCATATCGATCACTAGCTTGGATTCGTAATGGTCTTATAATGGTTAAGTAAATTAGTCTTCTAATAAGCCTGAGATGTGAACAAGGATATGTAAAAGTTCGTTTTTAGTCTCGTCGAGCTTCAAGTTTGCTCCATTGGAAACTTCGATGGTTTTACACCTAAAAATCTTCTATTCTCTAGAATTTCATGCGCATATATTTGCTGTAATAAATGAATTCCAGCCTTTGAAAACCTTTTAAGTTCTTGAATTTTGTCAAAGTCATTTCCTGCCACAATTATACCGTCTACATACACCAAAACAACAACACAAAACAACAACAAAACCTCTTCTTTCTGATAGAATAAATTACAAATAGTTTGCCTTACATTGCTTATGCCCTGCTTCACTGAAGGTTGAAGAAAACTTAACAAACCATTGTCTTGAAGCTTGTTCCAAGCCTTGTGGCTCCCCCGTTCATCCATAGCGTGGAGGGAGTTGCATATAGATACCTCCCTCAAGATTACCGTGCAAAAATGCAATGTTGACATCCAGTAGATGAATATGCCACTTTTAGATAGCTAAAATGACTGGCACGATGACCATTTTGGTGATAGGCAGAAGTCTCTTTATAATCAAGCCCTTCAATTTGGTTGTAGCCCTTAGCTACTAACCTAGATTTATGTCTCTCAAATGAACCGTAAGAGTTAAATTTGATTTTATAAATCCATTTGCAGCCAACATGTTTCTTGGCAAAGGATAGGGAAGTCAAGCTCCATCTATCCCAGGCCTCAAGAGCATTGATTTATGTTTTCTTTGCATCTCTCTATTTCAAATCCTTAATCGTCAAAAGTCATGTTTGATATCGATTGAAATCTAAATCAAAGTTAACAATTAATTTTAATAACATATTTCATGGAATCCATAATTGTTGAACTTTTATCAAAATTTCCTAAAAAATGATTTTAATCTCCACCAAATAGGAGCAAAATCACAATAAATTTGAATTTTTCTTTTTTCTCTTGCTTTGTTTTACTCTTTTACTCACACATTTTAACAAAATCTTAACCATTCTAATTTTTTATAATTTGTATATAATTTCTCTACAAATTATCACATTTACTACAAATCTTCGCATTCCAATCAAAATTTNTGTGTATATAGAATGTGTCTGAACTTATTATATCTAATTTGACTTATATTTAATGAATTGTGTTTATTTGATTGATTATTAGTATAGGATATTAGTTATATGTTTTTCCTTTCGATTACTTGAATTGATTGTTTGTATCAAATACGTTATAAGATTTTTAAACGTAAGTATACATTTTCTTGTGATGAATAAAATATTAATAAAATGACTCTTCGAAATCAAATGGATGAAATTGATTAGCAAAATATTAATGAAAAAATGTTTTTTTAAATGTAAATCTGTATTATCTCAAGTTAAGTATAAATCATTCAAAAATCAAGAATAAAACATTCGATTTATACATGATTTAATTGTGCCCCTCTAACCCAAAATGTCTGCGTCCAAAGTTACCACAGCTGAATCTGACAATTGGGAGGTTCGAGATGGTGGTCTATGCTCAAAGATTGTCAATTGGTTATAACATGGTGTAGATAAAATAACATCTCATGTGGTGATTTTCCAAATAAAAGAGGAGATGGAGTTCTAGTGGCAATCAAAATCGTATCTCCCTAAAAAAGTTTAGGCAAACTAGTTTGAGAGATGGAGATCCGATTCGATTTATAGAACACTAATTTTTCACAAAAAGAAAGTGGAAAAGTGAGATGTTACTCTAAGCCGCATTAGCAGAATACAAGGAGTCGAATTTCGCTTTATCCACAACTATCCTCCAGAAAAAAATCAGATAAGAATGTCTAACGATAAGAGTTTCTTGTATACAATTTTCATATCCATCAATAGTAGGTGCTCCTATTTTTCCTATATTTGGTCGAACTACTTTACAAACCTTACTCATTTGTTACGTGTAATTTCTCCTATTTCTCTTCATTATACAACAAAACTCTCAACTTCATGTACAATTCAGGCCATTATATTGACCTTCACAGCCAGATATCACAACTCTTCATTGGCTTCAAACTGCCCGTGCTCGACTGCTGCATATCTTCAGTAAACACATTCAAATCTCTTTTTTTTTTTTTTTGTACTAGCTTACAGCTTCAAAAAAGAAAACCTGGGGTTGCAGGTGTCCTCTTTCACACATATTAAGAACATCATTCCAGCCTCCAATTTCCTAGACATCAGATAACCATTATAGATTAACTGCAAATAAGAAATGAAGGAATACATTGCAATAGAAGGCAATTACCTCTACAGTTTCGTCATCATACATGATCCACTGTTCATGATCGTGCTTGTAGGCAAAAGAAACATAGTGCTGCCCATAAAAGCAAACCTATACATGACAAAAGATGAATGGATAAAAAGAATCAGGCAAGTCTGCATCAAAAATAGTGCCTGACTTCAAAGTTTTTCAACTGATGAATGCTGAGCAGTAGAGAAAATAGTTCTTCTTTGTTGTCGCGAGAATGGAGAGTAAGGATTGAAGGATATACTTCAAAAAAATAAGGCAAACAGGAGAAACAATTGTTTTTTTATTTTTTTATGAAATGTGCCAGCCACCCCAAAAACGTGAAACAAACAGCTATCTGAAGCAAATGATGGTTTGTCCTTGACATTTGCACAACCAGGCCATTGATCATTTATTTGCAATTAGGATAGATTACTGTAATTCCCTGAATCAAAAAGAAAAGGAAAAGAAAAAGAAAATCTAATTTGATGTCCTTGTGGTTTCAGAAGAATACCAAGATAGTTATGCACATTCGTTTACAATTTTTCTCTCTGATTCAGTTCAAACAATAGACTGCTTTAAAGATGATATCTCTAGTGCACAACAAGAAAACCACCACTTAAAAAGTTCTGTAAAAGCAAAATATGGAAAGTAGAAACTACATAGAAAAAGAGTTAGGCGTACCACAAAAACCAAGCGATGTGTGCATTTTTGGTCAAGACCACGATAAGGCACACTGATATCAATCTCTGTAGTAAAGGCTGCTAATGTTGCTGTTATGTCATCAACACTTTCACAATCATTCTGCCAACCCAGAACTACCAAATGTAAAGCCATGTATCAAATTCAGCATCTCATGCGATCCAAAATAAGTAGAGTGGTGATTCAGTTTACTAAATTGAGCTCCATTCAGGCACACGCAAGAAATAAAGAAATGAATAGGTAAAGATAAAGATAAAATGTAACAGGAAGTTTACCAATTGTGAAAACAAAGGGTTGAGCTGAGAGAACATTTTGAATGTAGTTGAGCTTTCTACAGCCGCCAACCTCTGGATCGCAAGCTAATTGGTCAATAGTCTCAACTAGGTATAAAAGCTCATCAAAGGAGTTTTTTGGGCACATGTCCTAAAGTGATAAAATAAATATATTTTAGCGACCATATTTCATGAATGAAGCAACTAGGACCATTATTTGAAAAACTATCATATGAAAAGACATGCCTTCATCGTTCTGAGAGCACCGGCATTGACATAATGAAAAAATGATTTATAATTTTGATGTCTGGACTCCAAACCGCAATTGTCACATTTCATTCTTTCAAGTATGTCCATTCCAAAAAGCGAATGTGCAATACAGGGTAAACCCAAGCAATCCAAGTCGCCCACCCATACAACAGGTTCGCAAGGGAATGATTGATGAAGGCAATCAAATATTGCCCACAGAACTTCAGAAGCATCATTCATCTGTCCCTGAAGATTTGCCAAAATAATAATCAGGAATCTAGAAATAATTTGGATTACAATCTGTTGAGGAAATGAAGAAACGGGTATTGTACTAAAATGAAGGAAAACCAATGCAAATGGTGTGTTTTACCTCCTGGAAGAATTTACTATCAGGATGCAGGTTGCTCAAAGCAACCCTCAAAGATGTGGGAGCAACAGCTTCTCTTCGAGTATCTGTAGGTGGCTTGCTCAGAGAAATGAAGATATCATATAAAGCACATGTAACACAAGGATCACCAACATGAACATGTCCAGGTGATAATCTCAAGTATTCATCTCGAAACCTTTGTAGGTGCCACAAGGACTGAATTCCAATAAAGAATCAATTTCTCAGGCTTAAAAAAAATTATTACTAAGAAAGAAAACTCTTAGGAAACAACAAGAAAAGCATGCTCTCTAATTCCGACCTGTATTATGACGTTGAGAAAGCAATTATATTCACCAACTTCATTTTTCAGACCAGGGCCACACATATCCATTACATTAACATTATCAGCCATGACTTTCTTTGATGAAAAGTCGAACTCGTCTATTTCTGGAAACTTCTTTGATGGCAGTGCTGAAGTCAACATCAAAGGCAATGTTCAATACACAAAACGTGTCTGATGTAAAATATTGAACACAATGCCGAGAAACTTTGAGGAAATAAACAAAGAAACTTCAGCTGCTTAATTTTTTATATATGGAGATATGTAGGGACAGCTTCTTTCCATAGAATTGATGGGATGGATAAGACAATAGCGAGATTGTTACCAATCTACATAATGTTTCTTGTTCAATTTTGGGACTCAGCAATACAGAAAATACATCAGTACTGCTTTCTAAGAGAAATAAACAGAACCAAGGAGAACAAGGGAAAAAACAAAAAAATTAAACAAAATTAACTGAAAGTATGATAGATGAGCATATTCAACCTCTGGCCATGAAGGCAAATGAGTACCCATAGATAACATCATGTTACTTTAACAAATTAAGGAGAATTGCCCATAACATAGAAGAGTGAAAAAAGGAACTGACTGAAGGAGGAAGAAATAAGATTATAAAATTTGAAGATTAAAAAGTGATATCGCTAAAACAAAATAGAATGCATAAATCTCTGTTACTAGGTGAAACCAAAAGCTGTCTGGATGACAAACAAAAATAAATTTTATAAACAAATATATTTAATAAGAATTCTTCTCCAAAAATAAGGTCAATTGAACTGAAAGTCTGAAACTACATTTATAATTTGCTTACACGGAACTAAGTTGATTCCACTTAGAAATACAGAATGAAAAATATAATAAGACACATACGTAAGCTTCTATTTATAATGTGAATATTAAATAAGATGATCTAAACATAAATTATGAATATTAAGAAATCAAGGAAAATGTGTCCCATTTTTTCTGTTCTGAAATTGTTCGACTGATTTGTCAGTATTTGGCCAGATTGAATCATTAACCAATGCTAACACAATTGAGCAAAATTAGCTAGATTTGAAAATTAGGCAAACAAAAATTCTATTCAATCCCCGTTCTATGTTATTATAGACTAGATCTATACCATACAAACATCATAAATCAATATTTGAGCGTTCATAATTCAAATGCTAATCAAATTTCAGGTAAATAAACATCCCAAAATAACAAGCTGCAAAAATAAAATTGTGATGCACACACCATTAGTTGTATTAAAGTAAAGAACACACCTTGGTCACCATCAGGAGTGTGGTCAGGTCCCAGTTGACCAACTTCATCATTTTCCTTTTCTGAAGACATAGGTGGCTCTGCAAGATGCTTCAGTTTTTCCTCATTTTCATTTTGTCTTTCATATTCCTCTTCCCATTGTCTTAAAGCGACACAAGTCCCAGCAAAAGCAATTGCAGCATCCGGAGCACTTACAGGTGATCTGCATTGATATAAGAAATGGAAAGATACAACATATTATTCAAATGCATTTAGATGGAGAACATGCACATGGATAGGCTATGGTAAAAGAGAGACATACATCTCTTCAGATGTCAGATCATGAATCCTTAGCCGCCCCTTACCACCAGTGGCCTGTAAATGTTGGAGTGCAAAGAAGTAAAAGATAACTATGCATTCTACGGTTCTTATTTTTATAAATAACTAATAGAAATCATCATGCGTTGCAAACCTTCAAATCCTTGTTTTTCCTGTTCTCCCTTCTCTTTTTCTTAACCTTCATCCTCTCTTGCATATGTCTTGATTTATCCCCTCCTCCACCAAAACCCTGTTCAGATTCAACAGCAAGTTCTGCTAAAAGTGTTTCTCTGGCAGCATCAGATTTCTTTGTGGCCTCTTCTTTCGCTGCCAGATCCTCCAAACGTGCCTGTAAAAAGGTGAAGAAAAGAACCTCTAATTCAAATGTAAAATGATACAAGAAAGGTTGAGGGGTTTGTGCAAAAACACATTATGCCAGATACTACCTGCAAATATGATTTCACTAGAGGCACCAAGATTGATCTGAAATCATGGACAGATGCAGGGTCAAGCTTAACTTCCAACTGCTGCATCGAATTAATTACATGCAGAATCCTTGCATCAACTTTATTGAGCTGTATTGATGAGAAAGTGAGATAAGCAGCAAAGTGTACACATAGTTAGGTCTTAATAACAAAAGGAGAAAGTAAAACTAACACAGCAACCTCTAAAGACACAATGTCTTTCTGTCTGCATATTGCACCTTTTATGGAGGAGTCCACCTGATGCAAATTGTCCTTTGTTCTCCAATCATCATGATCACCGGATTCTGCATCCTTTAGAACATTTGCTATAGCTTCCAGCTCAAACCTATTGCTGATAACGGCATCAATAACGGTAATTTCATTGTCACTTCCAATGAGCTCTTCTCGCCTCTTCCTCAGGACAGAGCCATAACTTTGGGGGACAGAATCTACTACATATTCTCTTTTAAGGCTCTTGTCATGACAGAGATTGTCCACAGCATGCAATGCCTTTTCATAATTTAATTGCTCAGATTTTCTCCCACACAAGCTCTGTAGGTCGTAGAATTTCTTCTCATGTAACTGAAGAATCTTTTTACCTTGTTGTTCTTTCTCTTCCTTTGCACATGCCCAGGATACCAACAGTTCTCCCATCGAGGGTCCTATAAATATCCAGGATAGCAGTACATCTGAATCAAGCACGATATCATTGCTCTCATAGCAGATGCGCGATGAAGTTGCTGAACTAGAATCATCATCACACAATGAAGAATTGAGCTTGCAGTGAAGAAAACACTCATCAACCTCTAAAACTAAATTGTCTAGATTAAAAGTTATCTTCTCCATAGCGTCAACAATCTGAGTACCACTGACTGAATCACCCATGAAATTCCATTTTTCACAATCTAAAATTTCCTGCTCAATTATCTGCAAAAAAGTCAAGATTTTCTCAAGATAAGGAGCACCCAGAAAGCAGATACATAGAGGTGTTTGGTCCATATCGAAGTTAAGGAGCTGAGAGAAATCAGGAAGACGCTGCAGCACCTCAGCTGCATACTGTATAACAATGCTATGATGACTTGAGGCTAGATGATTGTGTTGGATAAGAAGCTGGAATTTGGCATGGATGCTTTCCAGAAGTTCCGCACATTTTGAGTCATCAGTTGAAGGCCAGTTTTTATAAAGGAAACTTTTCTTACGGCCTTCACCATCCAATTTCATTTTTCCAGGTGATGAATCATCTTTGTGGTTTCTTGGGTTCGATTCATCAAGGAAATTAGGTGCCTCAAATTTTGACTGTTCATTAAGCATCATGATTGAAGCGTCTAAATCCAATGGTTTCCATGAACAATTAAGAAGCATCTCAGCCCACTCATCCTCCACTCTCTTGGGTATAATCGACTGATATTCGGGTAACAAAGTTCCCATATGCTCCTGAATGACATGCTGTCTGTGTTTATCTGCATTGACAAATTTTTTATTGCAGTGATAGCATAGCCAAAATTTCCAAGCCTTATTTTCTTTTCCAAAAGATAAAGCTTCATCAAGCAACCCTTCCTTTAACAAACTACAGTGTTTCCTGAGATCTGAAATTCTAATTCTAAGCAACTCTTTCTTCTGATCCAAATCCAATGAGTTCCAATAAGACCGAATTCTGTCCCTTATCTCAACTAAAGAATTATATCTCCTCTCATTCCCACTTTTACTTCTTCCTCCCTCTCTCTGCTCCATCCCTGAACTAGAATCCAACCCCTCATTACTATCACTATTACTACATTGAGGAGACTCGGACTTACGCTGCAGAAGCCGAGCAGCAGTCACCCTCACCTCAATCTCCTGCCTACGTTCCTCAGGAGTCTTAGTTGCCTTCTTAATCTCATTTGGTCTTCTCCCCATTACCGATCTCAATTCCATTGGAATAAACCCAAACTTCTCGTCTTCATTGCCCAGATTCTTCATCCTAGTCGAAACGGATGCAATGTTAGACTTCTCAATCAAAGACCGTAACTCGTTTTGGACATGAGCAACTCGAGCTTCAGATGAGGAAATGTTCTGATACCTCTCCTCCTGTAGCGTCTCATTGGCCGGGTCCGTGGGGTTTTCAATTGCTAAAGCCCTCTCGCACTCCTGCACCACCTCCTCATAGTCCTTCCTCTCACTTACTGTCTCTAACAACAAATTCGCATAGAATTGAGAAAACTCAATTGAATTCGGGGACAATGTGATCGACTTCCTTGCACTCTCTATTGCTTTCTTCAAATGCCCTTGTTTGGCATTCGAGTCAGTAAAATTCGAGGCTACCACACAAACATTCCCCATGACATGGTGAATCAAGGCCAAATTCTCGTGTTCTGAGCACAATTTGTTCATCCACTTTAGGGCTTTCGCGTGGTTCCCTCGACGAAGAGCAGAGAGTGCTCTCTCGTACTCGACCTTGATTGAAGCATTGGATGAAGGCGGTGCATTGTCGCTACTTTCTAAGTTCGGGGACTCAGTTTTTGCGCCTCCGTCTACAGCGGCGGCGGCGCGAGGAGTAACGTTTCGCTTCTTAGGCCCCATTTCAATTTCTCGTGAAAGCTAATCAATTGCTGCATAAAATCGAACTGCAGTCGCACAGTTAGAGAGAGAGAGAGAGAGAGAGAGAGAGGACGGAGTTGTATATATCGATCGGAGGCGGGAAAAATAACAAATTTCAGTTTGAGAGTTGTATTCATAACAGATTTCGTTAGCAAATAGCCACGTGTCACACTATTTATTGGCTTCAGATGTTTGTTACCCTGTTAATCAAAGGATCTCAATACCTTTATTCCTCTCCAATCATGCTACAAGTATGAGTGTGTTTGGTAGAGATTAAAATCGGATTAAAATTGAAAAATTAGTCGTTATTGTTGACTTTTATTAGACGGGTGAGACCCAATAACTACTATATTTTCAATTTTAATTGGATTTTTAGTGTTATCAAACAAGCTCTATATTGTTTTTTACATCAAGTTTGACATTGTGCCACATGTTGCAGCATGATTGGCCAGTTTGAAACTACAACACACTTTCCCGAGCACTCAATTTTTGAATTTGCAAAAGAGTGTCAAATTCCATGTACACAAAGAGTATACAAGGAGCATAATTCATTCATCTTTGGGATTATTTCGTTCGGAGAAATGCTAGCGGGCAAATTTGCATTGGATTTTGGACCAAAAATAAAAGTGAAACCGGTCAATTAAATTCTGTCATCTCAGCACCTGTAAATCCATCTGTATAAATTTTTTTTGTACAAATAGCATTTTTGTTTGGTTTATCAGTGAGAAAGTGTGTATGTACAGATTAAGTATTCAATTACTAATCTCGAGTTTGATTTGAAAAAGGTAAAGAGTTAAAAGTTGAATTGTTTGATTAAAATCGATTGTTTTTATTTACATTTCATTGATTATTCTCAAAGTCTCTACTATCTTTTGAGAGTACAATATAATGAAAGTTGTATTGAATCATTATTGTCTTTTGTTAGACTCTAAAATCAGTAATGGATATAAGATTCTTTGGTTTACCTTATTTGTAAATGTTAATACTGTTCGAATATGCTTATTTCCAATTCATAAACATAGAAGATACAAAGTTACATCATCGTAGTATATATAATTGAAGTCGCTATTACATTCGCGTGTTCACCATTACTGGCAATCTATAATTGGGACATTTCTCGATTTGTGTCTATGCAAAATCGCTCGAGATTTTGGTTAATTTTTAAAAGGAATTATATATTTAGCAGAAATCTAAATCTGATATTAGACCCTGTCTGATATGCCAACTTTTTCATAGAAGATGTAAATTATCCCATCATTTTTTACTTTTTAGCTTGTTTGATAGGAAATTTTTTCTTGGCAATTGCTATTCTCATTTTCAGTCACGTGACCTTTTATTCCACAAAAATGAGGAATTGAAATTTCTATGGGTGAGTTGGTTTTTTGTTTTCTTGGCAATTGAAACAAATCCATACTTTCCCTTTCACTTTCTTCTCACACCAAATCCTATCAATTTCCTTTTCTCTTTCTTTTCGCGCCACTCCCCCATTCCCATTTCTCACCTTTCAACCCCATTTCTTAAATAGCCACAAAATCGACCAAAAAAATTCTCACATTTTTCAGGTGAAAAATTATACCTATCAAATACCATTAATTAACAATTGTCAATAAAAACAAGTTCTAGACAATTCAATTCCTTAAAATTCGCTTTATTTCCACCCAAATTTCATTCTTGTAATCAAACAGATCCTTATAGTAAATCACTTCATATGAAGATTTAATTTTTTTACCAGTAGGAAGATACTATTATTATGTTTTCATATTTTTCTTCTTCCTTTTTCCTTTTTTTGGAAAAATAAAATTGTTTGTATTATTTTTCCCTTTTATTATGCAGAATCATTTGCATAATATATTTTTAATTCTTATGCTTTACTTATTTTTAGTCCTAGCACCGAAAAGTCCAAATAAAAATATATCATGTTTAAGTCATTAAAATTTTTATTTTCATTCATCTACTCATTTTCAACCATACATTCTTCAATAAAATAATATTTTTCATCACATCAATAATTTTTCTTTCTTTTTTAACTATATATTACTTTGCAATACCGGCTCTTGAAATTTCCATGGAAAATATGTTTTCAAGTAAAAAGAGTTAAAAAATATTTGTTATTATTATTTTTTTTTTTTTTACCAAAATATATGGGTGAAAGACCAAAATAACTTGATAAAATATTGGCTTAATAGCATAAAACCCCACAATATACTTGACGATGTACAATATACTACAACATATCTATTGAAAATCGCAAAAAATGTCTTTGTTTGAAACATTTTGTTCAAAATACTCTCTACCATCAAGATCCGTTAATTTAACTCTTTTTTTTCCTCCCCACCCCACCCTTTCTTGATGGTGCAATCAAGATTGTGGGTGTGGGTGGTGTACGACAGGATAGAATATAAACTTATAAAGTTTTAAGTTTGCGATTGTGGTTAGCGCACATAAAAATTTTGAGTCTAATTTGCTCAAAAATATAAAAATTTTGAGTATTTCAACTGCAATTATTCATTTTTAATTTTGACATTTTTTACTTTTTTTAACTATTAAAATAACGGATTTTGACGGCAAGAGATATTTCGAACAAAAAGTTTCAAACAAGGACCTTTTTTGCGATTTTCAATAAGTAGAAGGTATATCACACATCGTCAAGTATGTGGAGGGATTTTCTACTACTAAGCCTAAAATATTAGATACCTGAGGAATCTCCATAAGCTTACATGACCAAGAAATTGTATCCATAAATATTACTGTACACCAGAAACTGGCAAAAACATTTAAGCTGGTCAACCTAAATTTAATTAGCTGCAAATAAGGTTAACTGCATTCTAATGTCGAAGGAAATGCAAAGTATCTCACCCTTGCCGAAAATTTATATAGCAATACAAAGCCTTGACATTGAAAAACTCACAGCAAATGCATCCGCTCAACATAAGACTGTAGCAACCATCGGTTGAGAGGCTCTCCACATGCAACAAAGCACCCATAGTTACCGTTCTCTGTGAAGAAAGGAAACCTGAATACGTTCAGCAACTCTTGCACGGTTTGTCTCACAAGAGATGATCCAGTCACTCGGCTCCTTCTGCCCCAACCGGTGATAATATCAATGCGGTTTGGCCCAATTCCAGAGGCAAGCATTTGACTACGAAACCATGCAAGTGTTCTTGATAGTGCAGTCACAGCAGTTCCATTTGACATTACGTGCAGGTTTATAAGCCAGTAACACGAACTTTTCTCTCTGACCGCATCTGGATAGATGTTCTTCTGTGCGGCCACCTCCCAAACAGATCCAGCTACCTCCTTAAGCCCCGACTTATGAAAAAATTCAATAACTGCATCCACGAGTCCCCTCTTACTTTCTCTGTCTTCACTGTGCATCATATCCAAGAAGTTGCTTACATGATCTCTCACATTCTGCCCATCAGGTCCTGGAGTAGGCATAGACAGTAAAAATGTATGCACTGGGTGGCCAGTTGCTGTCATAAGCTCGCAACAAAATGACATGTCAAATGATGTTTGGGCTTCTGTGCAACAACTAAGGAGCAACGTGTAAGTTTGCAAAGAAGGATTCAGACCTAAACTGTGCATGCTCTGTAGCAAGTTATATGCATCTGACAGACGGTGTACCCTCAGGAAAGCACTCAGGAGAGAATTACATGTAGGAACATTCGGGCGTAAATCTGCATGAAGCATGGCTTGATACCATTCCCAAGCCTTCTCTACTTTCCCTGCCTTTCCCCACAGGTCGACAAGAAGACCATAAACAGGCTCATCAGGAACCCAGTTTTTTCTCTTCATCTCTGCAAAAACTGCCTCAGCTTCATCTAGATAGCCACAATGGCCGAGAACCTCCATAACTATACTGTAAGTTACTTTGTCAGGCTTAAATCCAGCATTCTGCATGTCACGATATAGCTGCAGAGCACTCTGGTAGTTCCTTGCCTTTGCTTGCAGAGCAATCATAATATTGTAAGTCACCAGATTCGGTATGCAGCCATTATTAACCATCTCACAAAATAGCTTGTCGGCTGCAGCCAAGTGGCCAGCTTTCCCAAGACAATTGATGATGACACTGTAAGTGAAAGTATCCGGAGAAAGTCCAGCTTCTTGCATCCGCTGATACATATCCATGGCAATATCAAGATACCCAGCTTTTGCATGGATATCAATCAGTGTACAATAGGTTACACGGTCAGGTTCACATCCCATTTTTCGCATTTGGCTAAAAACACCTAATGCTTCATTCAAGTAATTTGCTCTACCATAACTATGAATGAGACGATTATATGTAACAACATTTGGCGGACATCCATCACTGACCATCTGATCCATCAACTTCTTTATCGACCCAAACTGCCTCGCACGGCCAAGGATACCAACCATGGTAGTGTACGTATGTCCATCATGCTTGAATCCTGGTTGTTGTTTCAACCAGTTGAAAAAACCAAGAGCCACATTATAATCTTGTAGCTGTTTCAGAATTTGGTTTGCTTGGTAGGCATCTACTGGATAGTTCAGATTTCCAAGAGCCTCTTTTGTAGCAAGACTCCATCTGAAATTCTGTAAAATGCGAGAAACACTTTCTACCACATAACTAGAACTTAAAAACTTCTTAGCCACCGGAGCGACTTCCATTATTACTTTCGTCTCTCTTAGGGGCCTAGAGAACCCTTCCTGCGTGCTGCTAGAACACTTTCTTTCTAAATGTTGTACATCAGCCACGAAGCAGTTTGAATAAGTTCTTGATCTTTGAGGTATTGACCCTTTCCTCTCACGAGCCTCCAAGGAGATACCATGGGAATCTACAAAATTCCCTGATCCATTACTTGGCACATTCTTCACCTCTTTGTCTGAACCCCATTTATCAACTTTACCTTTTGCACCATAGGAGACAGTGGAAAAGTTTGACTCAGATGACTCAGCAGATGATTTTCCATGGGTTTTGTCTGTTCTAGAGGGTTTCACGTTTACTGTTCGGATGTTAGAAATTGGCTTTGAACGTTCAACCACAGAGTTCTGTGGTGTATTAAGCATTCCATCTAACACTGGAATCTTATTATTTACCAAGTCAGATAAAACACCTACTGCTGCAAAACCTGCCTTAACAATTTGGTCTGTAATAGGAGGTGACGAATGTTTTATCTCCTTTGCATCCACATCATCTGCGTAATTAATACAAGTTCCTCTTTCCAGTGAGTAGGATACCGGTATTATTTGTGGTGGAGAACTCCCCACCGTAGAATTTACTGCCTTCCCTGCATCGGTTGAAATCCGTGAATCTACTCCTAATGAAGCTTTAGTTACTAAATCAGACGATGCTTGCAAATGTTGGACATTTGTTCTGAGAGGCCTTCTAGAAATACAAGTCTCGTCTTCAGAGCAAGTGCATGAACTATCATCTGCCGCACTGCATCTTGGCCCGCTTAGGAAAAAAGACCTGGCAGACTGGGATAGTGTACCAAGCTGCTTTGCTCTTAACATGGTCTGTAGATTCAGTGTTTAAACTAAGAGTTATATCCAACTCCATAAGTAATAGAAAAAAAAACACAATAAATTATTACCATTATCTCAAGTAGCTGACAAGTCACATAACCATGATGCATAAAAGAATACATATACAACAGATAATAGGTTATTGAAACATAGTTATTTTTTGCAAAAAGAATTTAAAACTTACAATGAAGGAATAAATTATTGTGTATAAAACTATCAATATACTGCTAAGAACCAAATGACAGAAGAAAAAAATTTAATCTCGAGAATGAAGCATGGGGAAGATGACAATTGATGCATCTAGCACAAAGAAAATGGGTACCAAGAGGAAAAACATACACTGAAAATTTTGATAAATGCTAGGAGATTATCCAATGATAAATATGGTAAGAGGAGGAATGAGAGGCTTATGCCCTAAAAAAGCAAAGAGAATGGAAAAATATAAGCTCAATCTAACAAGGAAGAAGAATGTCTTTCCATCAGTAGCAAATAAACTAAAAAGAAAACAACAGCAATAATGAGATCCGCTTATAATATTGAAAACAACCAGTGATCATACAAGTATTAGTCACAAGTAGCATCTTTTACCAGAAATCAAATTATATATCTTCAGAAAAAGGGTATAAGGAATAAATATTTGACAGTTACTTACTGTAAAAGACAGGATTGATGCATCTAACACCACCAGAATGGTTACCAACAGAAAAAACTTGATAAATGCTAGGAGGTATCCACCATTAATACGGTAAATGCATGAGTGGGTATACACCCTAAAAAGAGCAGCAGGGTCGTAAAATATTTAGCTCAATCTGACAAGGGAAAAAAATGCCTTTCCATCAATAGCAAAAAAACAAAAAATAACAACTTAATAAACAGAGCCATATCGGGACCTGCCTAAAATTTTGAAAACAACCAGTAGCCATTCAAATATTTGTCAAAAGCGTCATTTTTTACAAGATATTAACGTATATATCTTCAGCATATAATCGTGTTCTGATATGCATGCAACTGAACCTGTCCTTCAATTGACTAAACTGAAATGATAACGTCAAGCACTAATGGAGAAAGAATGAAGTGATAGAAACAAATTTGATGATGGCAACTGCATCGTAACGAACAGCACATTGTCAATACAGACATATAATTGGTTTCAACAGAAGAAGAGATGAGATTTAATAGAAAGATTAAATTTACACTAAAGAATATCACAGGATGCGAGTCCTTATCAAACTTAATCGAGACAATGGCACAACTTATAACTCTTCATTTCTCAATCAGAAACAATCAAGTTATTTCCCACCACAACGAGAAGAATAAGTTCATTAAATCTTATTTATTATTTAAAAAAAAAAAAAATCCTTTCCCCCCAAGAAACCACCATAGAGGTTCTGACTACAGAAATTTGAAAATAGTTTTAGATGAAGTGAAGCAAAATCGAATACTAACGAACTCTCCAAGCCAGAAAATATTCTTCAATATGTCATCATTTAACGAAATAAATAATACTGACAATCATCATTTACTCACAAATTATAGCTAAATAAAAATGCCATCTTTTTTTCAAAATAAATACACAAAAAATACTGTATTAATATTTTCCAAATCCAATAAAACCCAGCACAAAATCACATTTCAAAACACTAAAACAGACCAACATAGCATAAAACCAACCATTTACTCTCATAATATACGACCCAAATGCATGAAAAATCAAAGAGTCAATTCCTAGAAACAAAAGAAATCCAACAGCCAACAGCAACCCGCATAATAAAATGACGCGAGCCTCACAAAAGCACCCATAAACAATTCATTAACAGCACAACCTACCATTCCAGCTGAAACCCACCTACCAAAACTCAAAACTAAAAACAATCACATCTAAGCAAATTCAAAAGTAGAACAGAATCAAAGAACGAGAAAAGTACCTCAAATTGTATTCACTCCAAACCGAAAAGAATCGAAATTTTTAGAGACAAAAAAGGAAGAAGAAAGTTTGGAGGCGGACAGCGAGAGCGGCTGCTCATTGTTCTGTGTCAACCTATTTCGTGTTTCTATTTTTACTTTTAATTCGCTGATATTTTATTGTGATATTTGATTATGTTACCCGTAGTTTTATGGTTTGGGAGTGTTATGTTGCTTTCATATTCCACGTGTTGTGTTTTTCACGGCTGATTTGTGATTGTCAGATACTCTAGTCACAGCTCTCGTGTTCATATCATTTTTTTTCCTGCTTTATTTTCCCGTCACATTTTGACTTTTATACATTTTTTTTGGGTTAATTTCTTTGTGTGTGGTGTGGGTAATATTTCTTGGCCATCAAGCATATTTGTATATTACGTTGGTCAGGTTACAACCGCCAATTTGGACTTGAGGTGGACCACAAAAATCAAATGCATTTGTGTATTGTTTCTTGGCCATGAAGTTACATAAATTATGCACCTAGTCCCATTTGATGTCCTTTAAAAAATGGCGTTTTCAATCGTGATTTTTTGAAAAATGTGTGATTAAAAAATAAAAAATAAAAATTACTTTACGTGTAAAAATTTTTATTATGTGAATGTGTAATTGAAAATGAATATGAAAATTAAAGAGTTTTGTTTCAAAATGAGACGAGCATGATCTTAAAAAAATTATTTGTCCATGTTTGATGGCAATTGTAAAGAGAATTCGGGGGAAAAAAATTTTGAATATTGATTTTTCCTCCCATGTTCGGTGACAACAATTTTTGAATATTGATTTTTAAAATTGTGAATCCCACCCCATGTGAGGGGACCATCATCCATTGGTGTACATCAAGCATTGTTCATTTACAACACCGTGTTAAATTTGTTTTTTGAGTAAATATCAAAGGCATTCAAAGCCATTAAAAACGAATAATATTATCTAACACTGGTGCTGTTGAACACCAGTTTAAGTGACGACATATCATACGACATATTAAATGGATCATAATTCATTATGTTTAATTGAATTTGTAGTTTAACGTCACTAATACTTCCATTTAAATTGATATTAAACAGTAGTGGCGTTAAATATCGTAACTCTTAAAAAACTACAATTAATTAATATTTTTGTCAATCTTTCCACGATTATTTTCAATCATTTACATTCAACCTCACCAAAGTATTTCGAGAAAGAGAGAATAAGTTGTAGATCCTTCCTAAAATTATTTTTCAAGATTCAAAAGGAACTAATAAAGTGTGACAGTAACACAAAAGGAACTAATAAAGGTAATTTAATAATTTTAGTAGATTGCCATTTGTGAATCATTGTCGAATTTCAAATTCCTGATTGTTGTAGCCAACTCTAATTTTTATTACAAAAATACTACTTGTACACACTTGGTACACAATCTCATACACAACCCTCTCACATGTGTGTGGAGTCCACAATAGGCCCCACATTGTGGGACCCACACACATGTGAGAAGATTGGGTAGGAAATTGTGTACCAAAGTGTGTAAGTGTAGCGATATTCTAATTAATTTGAATCCATGAATATATGAAAAGAATAAAGTATATACATTTAAACAAAGAATGTGTAAGTGAACGAACATGAATTTTAATTAATAGATATAGAAAAATATAGAAAAAGAATAATTTATACAGTGTTATATCATTAAAAAAAAAAAAAAAATACACACACACGCAATACCAATCAGTGCTGCCCTGTGTCTTCCCCCGATTCAAGGAGCATTATTCATCTTCAAGTTTTGTTTATCCCAGAATCACCCTTTTGTGGCGCCCACTAAATCCCGCCGTAACCTACTTGCCAATCTCACCCCCACGTCTTAACAAATTCGATAATTTTCGCTCACCTTCAAATTCCGGCACGATTTGCCCTTCCCATTTCTTCATCACCGCTTCGCATACATAAATATATATTGATAATACTCATATATACACAAGTATAATAGCATACTTCAGAAGAAAAAAAGTAAAGAAAATTTGATCAAGAAACAGAGAAATGGGGGTGGATTATTACAACATACTGAAGGTAAATCGGAACGCCAGCGAGGATGACTTGAAGAGGGCCTACAGGCGTTTGGCCATGATTTGGCATCCGGACAAGAATGTGAACAAGATTGAAGCTGAAGCTAAATTCAAGCAAATTTCCGAAGCGTACGATGTTCTAAGCGACCCACAGAAGCGTCAGATCTATGATCTTTATGGAGAGGAGAGTCTCAAATCTGGGCAAGTCCCAAGTCCTTCAAGAAGCGCAAGAGCTCACCCGGGTTCTTATTATAATTACGGTAGTAATCAGCAGCATCCGAACCCGAATTTCCGATTCAATCCCAGGAGTGCCGATGATATATATGCGGAAGTTTTTGGGGAAAATAGTAGTAATGGAGGTGGTGGGGCGAGAAGGGATGGGAATTTTAGGAGTACGTCGATGAATGGTGGTGGGAGTAGGGAGTATTCAGGGCTTGCCTCTGGTGGTGCGGCGGGGGGGTTTAGGAAGGCACCGCCGGTGGAGAATGTATTGATGTGTAGCTTGGAGGAGTTGTATAAGGGTGCTGCCAAGAAAATGAAGATATCTAGGAATATTCTTGATGGTCGCGGGTAGGTGCTACCTTTTCTTTTCTTGATGACTGTTTGCTAATTGTTAGTGTTTCACATTTTTAGTGCATTTTTGCTTTGTGAAGGATGCTGCCAAGAAAATGAAGATATCTAGGACTGTAGTTAGGATTGCTAATTTTTCCTTTTTGGCTTTATGAAGTGCATTTGAAGTTTTTTCCCCTTTCTGAGTGCGTTCTAGTTGTATGTTTATGGTCTTCTTTTGTTGTTTTGTGAGTGTGTGTGGGTGGTGGTGGGCATATATTGATGCAAGTTTTGAATGATATATAACTATAATGCACTCTAGAAGATAAAAATTCAAACCCTACACTTCAGTGTGGGCTGTTTCAATATTATCTGTTTTTAGATTGACTAGTTTATTTTCAAAATCAGCTTGAAGTATCTAATTGTCAGAATCGCTGTTGATAAAAGTACTATCAACTAAAAGGTCTATGTAAATATGACTTTTTATAAAGTTAAAGTAATAGAATCCCTCATTGGCTTGTTACTGTTCTGCTTTTGTTTGCATTAGCTTTTATGAATATCAATTTAGAGTGTGAGGTTTTAAGTTTTATATTTCAATGATTGTAATGTAGATGATTTCTTCTGTTGAATTAGTGGATTCTAGAAACACTTCTAGTGATCTAGAGCCTTTGCACTCCTTTGGGGTCTTGTTTGAGCCAGTTGTTTTATCATCTATTAAATTGGTTGAATTGTTTGAGCTTTCAACTTTAAAGTTAGTACTTCCAGGATTTTGTTTTCCAGAAAAACGTCCTCATTGTTTAAATGTATGATATCTTTAATCGGTCTTTCAACACATGACAGATAATAGTAGAATACACCATCTAGGAAAGTCTTGTAGTGGCTTTTGCAGGGCAAGCGTGGTCTTTCCTTGGATGTCATGGTTATTGTGAAGTTAAATGGATTTGTACACCATCTAGGATACTCTGGTATACTTTTTCAAAATAAAACTCGGACTATGAAGCCAGTGCAGATGATACCTTCAAAATAAGGAGATATTCCATGTAAGATGGCCTTTCCACAATGTCCCTGCGAGCATTCGAAATAGTGGATGTATGTATTAACCAGGAACAAGATAATTGAGTTCATTGTTGTTAAGCAACTTTTTTGTGGTTTCTAGTTCATGGATTGAGTTGCACCATATTTTTGCAAGATGATATAGTGTTTAGAGATAGATACAGGGTCACTTTATCTTGACATGGGTTCAAGAAAATCATTACAAGAGATGCCTTTTTCCTTTCATGCTGATGGTTGTTCTATAGGGTCTGCGTTTCGAAGGACTTCTTGGCAGGAACATACTTACCTTTCGAAAATAGATACTACAATGGGAGATGTTTGAAACTTAAGTTATACATAGCAAGACTTTTTATCCTGCAGTTTGCTGCGATATGAAGTTGAAGATAACATATCTACATGCACAGAGACATAATATACCTCCAGCTGATACTCTCTATATTCACGCCTGAAAAGAGAAGAAAATTATAGTGAGTTCATTTGCTTCAGTCTGTACAAATAAGCTTTCTAAAGATTCTGGGTTTTATTTTACTGGAGGTTTGTCTCTTGTTTCATTGATTTGGGATTGTGATATCTGACATGATGGATGGATACTTGATTTCCACTTTCATTGGTCTTCTCAGAAGAGTTTGTTCTTTAAGATAAAAGCTGGCAAACAATATTATCCATGTCCATGGATAAAAAGAATTGAATATTTATAGATTGGAAGTTGTTCATGACAATGTTAATTTGTTGTATTTGAATACTTCTAGACTAGACTTAGCAAGTCTTTAAAAATTTGTATCTCTGGGTTTTCTTGCATTAGAGTCACAGTGCAAGTGGTACTAGGAGAGTGTTGGTCTGCATATACCTTTATGCTCACTTATTTTTGTTATGACGAGGGCCTGTTGGCCCAATTTTTCTAGCGCCTTTAAAAACCGTTCCATTTAGATCCTCAAGCCTATCTTGCAAGTGAAAGCGAATCCTAGTAACTCCCTCTAATATAGCTGTGGCTTAATACTTAATCCAAATTCTATATTTAGTGTTCTTTAATCATTGACTCAACGAAAATATCTTCAATAAAGCTAGCTATAAACCTCATATCTTTCTCTAATGAGGTCCAAGAATATACGGTATAACCTGGAAACTCTGGATTGTCTTTAGCTACTCCACATCATGCTTCTTTCCACCTTCAGCTTGCACATAGTACTACAAAGCAACATGTTTAAGTTAATTTATTGTATGTTTGGCACTTTGTAAGGAGAAATTCATACCATGCCCTGGACCCATTTTTTAATCTATTGCTGCTGCTCTTTGGCTCCTGTACCTCCTACTGCCTCTTGTTTTTTGAGTGGGTTTGCTTTTCGCAATATTGAGTTACTGCAAATAAAATGTGCATGTTTGGGAATATTATAAGTTTCTTATAATTTTAAGTCAAAGTCAAAACATTAATTTTAACAACACATTTACCACTTATTACTCGCACATTTAGTGGGACCCATTTCTGTTCAATATAATGTCATTATAATTTCTCAACAAGCACAATGTTCCAAGATAATTTAAAGAATTGTCTTTCTCGCACATTCCATATATATTAATGGGATTGACTGATGGTACTGCCTCGTCTCCTGAGGATTTCTGGCCAAATTTTCTTAAGGGGTTGCAGGATAAGTAACTTTAGTAGATATATTCCTGTTTCATCTGTTGTTCGATAATAGAAGTGCCTGCCCATATTGTAATGGCTTTGTTTAGGTTATTCATCAAGGATAGGTATGTATCCGAAGTACGGAATGTTCTTTTGCTCTTTCACAATACTTCACGTGGCCTTGTCTATGGAACTCTTGAAAAGTTGAGCAGTAGATCCTGTATCTGAAGGAGTGGAACAAACTGATGCTTTGGGAATCATGGTTATTAAAAATCCTAAAAACAGTAGGTCCCCAGTTTGAAAGCATTCCTGTCAATTTATATGTGCTTTGGTTAACAAAATATTAATGGGTATCATAGGACAAAAGAGGTGAATGAAAGATTAATATTACTCCATAGCAAAAGAAGTTAATAAATTCTCCAAACATTGTTGTAAGGTCAAAGGTTTGCTTATGGTTTTTCCTAATTCCACTAGAATATATTAAATCCATTTATGTGTTCCTTTTTGATTATATTTCTCTTCAGAAATGTTTGATACAGTTTTACTCTTTACTTTATTCTCTTGCAGCAAGTTGCACATTTTAGAAGAGATCTTAACTATTGATATAAAACCAGGCTGGAAAAAGGGCACAAAAATAACTTTCCCCGAGAAGGGCAACGAAGAACCTGGTGTGATTCCTGCAGATATTATTTTTGTGGTAGATGAAAAGCCTCATCCTGTATATATGAGGGATGGTAACAATTTGGTGGTGAAGCAGGAGGTATCACTTCTTGAATCTCTTACAGGAAAAAAGTTTGAACTGGTGACACTAGATGGAAGGAATATCACGATCCCTGTACTAGAGATTATCAAACCTGGACACGAGGTAGTTGTCCCCAGTGAAGGAATGCCAATTTCCAAAGAACCTAGGAAGAAGGGGAATCTGAAGATCCGAATTGACATCCAGTACCCAACACGGCTCACCGAAACGCAGAAACATGAACTGCGGAGAGTTTTGGGAGGGAGCACGTGATAACGTCTTGCAAGTTTTAGGCTTGACAATATTAGCAAAGGTAGATAGTGTAGGTTTGGGTGTAAATATGGTGCATGCTGGCCATTGAAATATGTGAATAGTAGAATGTGTTCTTAATACCCAAGGATTGTCGATTTTTGGTCTTTTTGGCAAAGTTCAAATGCCTGTTGCTGAAAAAATGGTTATTAGGTTATATAACATATACAAGGCTTTGTGAGACGTAATACTCCTACTGATTGATAGTAGACCCTTCTGTTGCTGGAGATTTTTGTCCATTATATTTTTTAAGTTCTACCTGAGCTCGTTGAGTTAAATTTTGCCTGCCAAAAATTGTGGGAGAGGAGAATTCAGAAAGAGCTAATTTATCTTGCAGAGGGAAATGAATTTTGGAATAATAATTTTTTTGAGAATGTGTTGTTAAAAAGTGAGAAAAAGTTACATGTTTATGAGTAAAATTACTTTATTGGGAGAATGTATAGTAGAAAATGAGTTTTGAGAAAAAAAATTGAAATTTTAGAAATTGTGGCTCAAATAGGGGCTCAGGCCCTGTCTGGAGTAAATTAAAACCAAAATTCTGACCGTTAGATTGGCCATTTTTTGACCGTTTGGAGCTCATTTGGGACCCACCTGTGAGTTAGCTAGTCAACAACGGCGGCTGCAAGTGGGAAAGCAACGGTAGGAAAAACGCTATTAA